TCTGCTTTGGCCAGCTCGGCAGGCTGCTCAGCGGGCATAGCCGCGACGCAGCTGATGCCGGTGAGGGCGGCAACGAAGAGCTTTGAGTAGAGCATGCTGACGATCTAAGCGAACCGCAAGTGCTGGTATCAAAAACCAAAGGTGGGTATAATTGGAAGGGTATCGTGAGCTTGAACTGATTGTTGTCTTGTCTGTCTGGTGAAGAGAAAAGAAAGCAATATCTCACGGGGGGTGGTGCCGTTCTTTATAGTCTGGGATCACTTCAGTTGTAGTTCATCTTTCCCGTGAATTGTCGCCTGCCGAGCAATCAATGGACTGTTGACGCTCGCATTGCACCGGGTCTAGTTCGTCGACATACTCAAACGTTGTTTATCCCTCTGGCATCCAAGGATGTCCATTTCTCCGACGCATCCGTAAAGAGCTACCTAAGATGTGCAGCTTTCAGCAAGCTACCTCGATCGGCTTTGCTCCGAGGCATCCTGAGTTGTCTCCCACAGATCGGATGAGCTGCAACCAGTATGCGCCGTGGGTTTGGTGACTGTCACTCACGAACTAGCGGAGTATCAAGAGCAGAGGCGTCCTACAGAGATGACATGTGTTAGACAAAGGTCTAACGGCAGCATGCCGATTGTACCATCATGTTCATGAAAGTTGTCCAGGATTCCTGGCAAATGGACCAGAAGTTCATGCCTCCACGTTTGGCTTGCTACGCTTGATGGTGTGCCATCTAACTCTATTCAAGCTGTGAAGGGGGGAAGTGGTCGCATGGTGCAAGCATAAGATGGTTGCAACCTCTACAGTTAGGAAGAGTTGAAACTTTCTAGCTAAGCTGAGCAAGGCAGCTTGATTCCATTTCGGAAATCCTCAACTTGGGATTGACCCTTGGCAGTCCGGTAGGTCTTCCGAATAAGGATGGGTGATAATGCGCCCTCAAGCAACAAAGGTGTAAGTTTCTGGTACCTATTCCACGTATTAAGGTAGGATCATCTCACTGCCATACCCGACTACCAGGTCATTTTTGTGAGCGATACTCAAGTATAGTTCAGTCATCAGTTAGCGTTGTTGCTTCACTGACTGTTCAGTCTTCAAAATGGAGAGGTCACAGGATCTATTTCACCCTCCAGGTGGATAAACCATCTTGCATTAGGGACTTCTTGCACACATCCCATTAGCAACTGGACCGTATCCGCGAGATGGCCCTTGCTATACCCGAGCTTTCCTGCACCATGCCAATTTTCGACTCAACTGCTGTGCAAACTAATGTGAAGAAACATTTCATCTATCATAGTCGGCGTCTGGGGAGAACCGATAAGTGCCGCTCCGTCCCTCTGATTGGACTTCGTCAAAGGCGACGGCAAACATTTCACGCCTCAGAAACCGCAAACCTTGCCCATTAAGCCATTGTGTTTCCTGGGCGGAAGGTTCATGGCAGATAGACTCTGCTCATCTCCCGCTAACCCCAAAAGGCGAGCTCGACTTTGTATATGCTGTCCAAGTACCCTCGAGGCTGTCTTTGATCAGGGCTTCAATGGCAGATCATCGTGTGAGATCGAGTTCAATCCCTGTAAATGAAAAGTGTATGGAATTGCCTGACGGGTAAACCTCGTCTGACACGCATCTATTCAGCTGTTAACCCGACTTGTCTTTCTAATCAGCGTCACGGGATAGTCCCCGATCTGTTGCGACTCCCGAGAGCTCCGCATGCAAACTTCCCAGCATCCCAAATCGTAATCTCAATGTACGACTATTCGGTAAAGGAGGTGTTCGGAATCGTTTTCATTATGAGATCTTTAACCTTATGGGAATAAGGTTGGGGTTTGGAATGATATCCTGCATCTGCGGCGCACAGTCAATCCGAAGCCTCCACGCGAGCCATGCGCTACACTGTGACTGCACAAACGTCAGCACGAACCACACTCATAGTTTGGAGAGCACAGCACAGCTGTTCGATTGATTCAAGATTGGTCAAAGTTCAGTTCGTCTGGTATGCGTTGAGAGTTACAAACCAAACACTTTGCACCCCCGCAGAAATGTTTCGGCTTCTAGCATTGGTCTAGACCTTGAGCAAACTGTTGCGACTCGCGCTGATGTTGTGCTTCTGGCATGAACCACTGTTTGTTTGGGAGACAGAGGTTGTTAACCTCCCCACATTCCTGTCGATAACTTTGCTGCGTATTAAGCTTCTCCAACGTGGATCGCCTGAACTTCTCATCGGCGCGAAGAATGACTTGGGCAGCTTTTGAACCGCGAACAGTCGATCTGTCCTATAAGATTGTGAAGTGAAATCAAGGTTGACCAATGAATGAACAAGCAGGCCTCGCCAAGAACTCATGGCATTGAACGCTTCCATGAGGCTTGCATGAACGTTTCCACCAACACCCTGCTGTGAGGCAAGAACTGCCGTTCCTGGTGATCGACGTGAGCAAACTTCATGCAAACCGGTTCACGAACAGAACACTGAAGCGATCTACCTCGTAGTCCCCAGCGAGGCTGTTCACACGCCATCGCAATCCGGGGAAGTTTCACTAGACCAGAAGCAACGGAGACGGATTTTGAGGGAATTGATAGTCGGGTATATCGTTTATTGAAACTCGTTAGCCCCCACAAGGAGCGAGACACCTAGAGGATATCTTGGCACCAGTGATGTACATATCAAACGTCCATCAAGGACTTTCTTTCTTTACCTCCCTATCGTATCGTCCGCTCGAGATGAGAAAATAAAAAGGAAATCGCTCGGATATTCATGCAGGATAGCTCAAAAGAAACACAAGAAGGCCGCAAGTGCGTTGGCGGAAAGAATGATAAGACGTTGAAAAATAAAAATGAGTGGGTATCGGCGCTACCGGAAACCTCCCTGGGCGCCACCGTTGTTGAAGTATCCCTGATTCGCGCCTCCATAACCGCCATTGTTGTAGCCTTGCTGCGCGCCGAATCCATGGTCGCTGTATCCATGCGAAGGCGGGCTCATCGGCGGGGGAGGGCTTTGTTGGCCGTCAGGTGAGCCGAGGCGAGAGTAACCTCCTTGCGATGCGCTACGGCTCGGGGCCATAGGCAGGGGACCCGAAGGCGGCATTCCAGGGCTTTGGGTACGCAAGGGAGACATGAGCTGGCCGTGGCCATTCGGGTTGTCGCTATATGATCGCATGCCAGCTGCAGCACCAACCCCAGCGGCGCCCGCGGCCATGGGCGCGGCACCCCACGCGCCCTTTTCCTGAGATGCCGGGATGCTGTATGTGTTCTCCTGGACCATGCCGTTCTTGCTGAATGCGCCAGCATTGTACTCGGTGCCTGTCGCGCCAGCAAACGAGTCAGGGTCGACGCCGCGCTTGTGGAAGCCCTCAAGTTCGAGACGCTCTTCTTCGGCTCTCTTGGCGGCAAGGCTTGCCTCGTTGGCACCACGTCTACGCTGGCGGATGAAGTACCAGAGACCAAAGGCAATCAGAGCACAGCCTACGCCGACACCTCCAGCATATACAGCCGTTTTGGCGGTTGGGCTGAGCTCGTTGAACTTTTCGCTCACAGACTTGCTAGGTTCCTCCAGAAGAGCTTCCTTGACAGTTGAGTTGCCGCTGAGATTTGAGGTTAGCATGAGCTCGGTTGTAGTGCAACAGTCCAACGAGCGCAACTTACGCAGCAATTTTGATGCTCTCCCAGGAGCCCGTCTTGTCTCCAAAAGAGTACTCCTTTCCGGAGCTGTAGTCCGTCACCTGCGCAGACTTGACATACATGGTGTACGGTCCGGCGGCGTAATCGGTGTCACCTCCAGCCCATTCTCTAGTACCCGCAGCCATGCGGGGATCTCCACCAGCCCAGATACCGAGACTGAGGCGCATGGGAGTCTGGGGATAGGCCAGGGAGTTGTTGGCGTCCTTGGGGAGAAGAGTGCGAACGTTGTTGCCGTCGACCCACCACTCGAGCTTCTCCTTGGTCCACACGCAGGTATAGTTGTGAAAGTCGTCCTGGATGCTACCCGTCACAGGGTGCTCGGCACCGTTGTGCCAGTCCTGAACACCTTTGCCGAAAAAGTTACTCAAGGCGTCGTTCTTTATTCCAAGGAATTCCCAATCAACCTCGTCCAAGGTGTCGCTGAGCCACATCATAGAGCTCACAATACCCTTTCCCTTGGCGGCCCTCATGTGGATCTCAGTACGGCCCCAGAAGAAGTAAAACTTGGATCGAATTGTCGGAGAGTCGCCTTGCTTGCTAATCGTGAATTCAGCTCCATTATCCGAGGTGTACGTAACGGGGCCAACAGTGGTTTCCCAGGCATCAGTCGATGGAGTAGAGTTGAAGTTGAAGTTGTAGTCCATGCCAAAAGCCGGGTCGGCAGGACAGGTCGTGTTCATCGGATTACATTTCGTCGAAACTTGAGCGACCGCAGGCTGGGCAAGCGATGCCAGCACCGCCAGTGCCGAAAGAGTGTATTGAGACAGCATTGTAAGGGAGTGTGGATGGAAAATGATCCAATTGGACTTCCGCAAGGACGAACGGTTGTCGAAATGAGCGTTTCGTGACGTTTGCGACACGTTCAGTAACGTCAGAAGTCTGCAGAACACGGCGCGCCAGCGGTGAGGTCTTCTTTATAACAAGAGAGTGACAATAGTGAGAGACAAGGAGTATGTGTTGTCTGAGACGGACGAATTCACCAGGCTCAACGTCGCAGACACAGACCGGGCTGTTGGAACAGAGGGAGAGAAAGTTAACTTCTGGTGGAATGTCGAAAGGAATGGCGATGGTGGGGTTCAAAATCCAAGAATTCAAAAGCTGGGAGTGAGTGTGGATATGGTTGTTGGTGTTCGCTATTGAGATGGGGGCAAATGGCACGCATGGGAAGAAGCCGAAAGCACAGACTCGGGAATTGAGTTAGGGACTCAATCAAACGGAGAGCAATGATAGGAGGCAACCTCATCTCAACGTGGGCAAAGCGGAGAGACAGATGCAAGACAAGCCAGGGGATGCCGGGCGCGTGGCAAGCAGCATGTTGATTAAAGGGGGTGCCAATGTCTCTTTCTCCTCTTTGGGTTCTTGGAGTCGCATCTGCAACGGGCAGCGTTTCCGCACCAGCGCCAACCAGGATTAGCGTTACAACTATCGGTCGAACCAGAGGCGAGCAGCATTCTAGGGCCCGGTTCGTTGTGGCACCGGCAGTGCAAGGTTATCAGAAAGGAAATTGTTCGACATTCGCCAAACGGTCAAGCGACCGACTGGGAAACTCTCAAGATTATCCCGAGATTGTTGGTGGGCCTGCCGGAGGAGAAATGGCACCTTGGGCCGGGGGAAACGGCTGTGGAGATCTGGTGAACAGCGTCATGGGCGGTTGGAAAAGCGATCAAGTATGAGGCATTGCGAAGAAACTGCGGTCCGCGTTTGCGTGCGCTTCCGGGCACTCTCTTGAGTCGTGATCCTGAAGCAAGCGGTTGCGCGCATCGAAGGCCTGTTGGTAGTTCAAACGTCATTATATGGATGGCCATGTGAAAACCCATCTTAGGTGATACCAAAGAGGGCCCGCTTTAGGAGTCGGCGATCACACCGCCGTCACGTAAATCTTAAGGCACCTGCCCAAGCTGGAAGCATGAAACAGCATCTGCCAAGCAGCCGAGTACGGCTTGCAGTGGTGTTGTGTGATTTCAAGCCGCATCTGAAAAGATAGTTGCGACTGCAACTGGCAAATGCGCGTTGGAAAGGCGTCAGGTTCCCGATACCCACGACTTTGTCGTCAATTCGGTATTCGCGCGGTGAGTGATAGGACTTCCCCAGCTTTCGAGCATCGTTCTCCCAAAATACGACCGAGTTTCGTTGTTGCTAGCATCTTGCCTGTTGATCAATGACAAGAATTGTCGCCCTACACAAGCCAGCTTGCGGGCCAGTCTCGAGACTGCAACGGCGGGTTACTAATGCTTAATTTCAAAGAGAGACGCCTGGCCAGATCTGCTGCAGCTGTGATCCGAAGTGATGATGGTTGTAGAGCGATGGAACTCTCATGAGGAGCATAGCCAGGCGTCTAGTGACGACTCAAGATGAGCGAGAGAAGCGCGGTTGAGGAGTAATCGAGGCGGGATTGGCGTCGTGAGTTGTGGTGTCGTCGATTTGGATCTTCAGGCTTGAGATCTGGCCTGAGCGACTCGGTCGCTGTGGGTCACTAATGGTGAATATTTTCATCCGCAAATGAGCAATCGTAGTGTCTTGTTGTTGCTGCGACCCGTTTGGTGGGAAACACTGTAATAGCGTTCGTCGATGTGCTGAGTTGTTTGCGAAACTTCAATCATGGAAGCGTCGAAGGTTTGCGGAAAATGAGTGAGACAAGGAGCATGAGGACAAAGTAAGGTGAGTGAGTAAGGTGGGAAATAAGGTGAACAAAGTGAGATGAGTAAGGCTGCGTGGCTGCTAAGGCAAAGGCAATTCATCGGGTATTCGGCGCATGGCGGGCCCAAGCGTCCGGGTCAGGGCCGGTCGAGAGACCCACATCCTTAAATGACATTGCAACCGCTAAAACACAAGATTTTCCGCCTTGTTCGGTTACCGCGTGATACAGTGATATATGTACGGCTTGGCTAGACCGATATCGCTCGTCAACCTAAGTCAAGCCACAACGAGACATTTTCTGAATCACACTATCACTCGATGTCCTCACTCGCGTCAAGAAGCTGCAGTAACGAGACTCTAGCTCATCAATGATCCAAGACTCTGGAGGTTGACTTAAAGACATGCTCTTTCTTAGTATGCACAATGCCAACACCAATTTCGGCAATCTATCCGTGCAAAAACCCACATCGTCCCCGAACTTCACCAAACAAAAGTGATTTTTGGCGGCCCAGTCCGCTCCCGATTACGCGGCGGTGGATTCCCTCAAGAATGGACGCTTACCCGAGACGTAATAGTGGTGCAAACCGCCCTGCAACGACATGCTAAGATGCGATAACGCAATCCCAACCCCAGACAAGGTCTGCGGGATGAGCCCATGAAATTTTTCAGCTGTTGTTTGTTCAAATACTGGGCCGACTCCTGGCTTCTGACTGAGTCATCTCCCTGTCTAACCTCGAATTCACCCTTCACTCAACGTTCGCACAGCCATCAAAGCAGCCGACATGAGCGCGCAAAGTGATCTGCAAGTCGCAAACTCGTCCGACACCGATGCCGGAAATGAACAACCAAGGAACGAAGCTCAACGGCGCAGCTTCGGTGACTGGCTCCGTGATGATGTCAACATCCGCTATACCGATATCCCAGTCCTCGCTTGCTGTCTGGTGTCCGGCTTGTGCGACAGTGTAGCAGTGAACGCAGCTGGTGTCTTCGTCAGTATGCAAACAGGTAAGAGCCTAGCTATCAGGCAGGGGAAGCAACATGTGATACTGACCTGTTTAAAGGAAACACCATCTTCATGGCTCTTGGCGCCTCGAAGCTTCCGGCTGGCGAGCCACTCCTCTGGCTCAAGTCCCTCAGCTCCATCGCCGCGTTCTGGCTTGGGTGCTTCTTCTTCTCCAAGTCGAGACACATCCACCCCAAGCGCAGAAGCACTCTCGCCCTGTCGTTCCTTCTTCAGTCGGCTCTCGTCTTCCTTGCCGCCGCCTTTGCTCAGACACGTCTCATCGCCGACTTTGGAAAAGCCTCGGTGCAAGGCTCCGACTCGAATCACGAATTCAAGACCTCTGAAGACCCTCTTGTGATGGTCCCCCTTGCGCTTTTGGCCTTCCAGTTTGGCGGACAGATTGTGACGAGCAGGATTTTAGGATACAACGAAGTTCCTACCAACGTCCTGACCAGCGTCTACTGCGATCTCCTCTCCGACCCCAAGCTCTTTGCACCCCTAAAGGAGAACCCCAAGAGGAACAGGAGGTTCTTGGCCGTCGTTTTGCTTGTTCTTGGAGGTATTATTGGTGGCTGGCTGCAGAGAAGTCGGGCTGGCATGCCTGGAGCTCTTTGGATCTCTGGAGGAGTCAAGTTTATCATTGCCGTCGCCTGGATGGGCTGGGCCAGCAATGAGCCGGCTGAGAGCAAGCTGGAGAAGGGCGTTAAGTCATAATTTAGATACCCGTCTAAGCCATAGGCTGTTAGCAGAATATATCCCTCCCTCGTGCAAAGTCTCATTGTAGAATGCGAGCGTTTCTGGTGGGATATATGATGGCAAGTCTCGTGTTTTTGCGTGCCCCTCGAGGGCTAGCCCGACCATTCAACTGAGAGTAGTCAGTGTAGTTGTTGACTCGTACACATCCGTCTCCAGGGAAACACTCAGGGCTCACTGACTGCCACTCCAAGACTGATTTACGTACATATGTGCACTACTAAAGGTTACGGTTGTTCTAGTGCCGCTCCTATTTGATATATGCATACAATACGTGACAGCTGTGAACCTTGACCGAAGTATCACATAACAGCTTTCTCCTAGTCAAATTGGGACTTCGCGTTAGCGAACGAGCTGTTACGCGCCATGTCAGGTTGTAGGGTCTTTTCATCCAACTTGGCAAGATTGATGGGCTTGAGGTCACCATCTAACATTACCAGAGGCAGAGACAAAACTTGATAAGGTTGCTGTCTACTGATGGGTAAACCTTTGCCACAGACAGTAGCAGCATCTCGTCAAACTGTTGTGTGGGACGGATGGCTATGTAAGTCGTCTCAGCGTATGTCGTACTCCGCTGAGACGATGTGATCCATTAATATCGCTTCAAATCTGCCGATACCAAATCTTCGATATGTAAGGTAGACCAAGCCACCCGCTACGGGCTCTCGACCGTTGTCTTCTGTGACATTTCGGCGCACTCCGGTGCGCCAAACACGGGGTCTTCAATGATACTCTAGTGCATGAACAGTCAATCAGACAGCAAGGAACTTTCGACTTGTCCTTGTTTAAACGAAGACTTCCCCACAAACCATCCCTAATCAAGCCTTATAGGATAGCTTCCATGGCTGACATGCTGCATCGTTCGCTCTGCGCCTGAGTCCAACCAAGAAAGGCCCACCCCAGACGTAACCCACATGCCCGGATTCAAGATTCGCGAGAACCACGGTCAAGTCTTTTGACCATCTTTCAGGATCGCTTGGATGCCAGCGCAGGATCCCTACCTACTATTTGTTGCTAAACCGTTGTGCTTCTCGGTTTCAGAGTGAAGATTCGCGATAACAACCATTGGTAAATCATAGCGCTGTAGGGCAAGCCACAACGTCACGGTCATCCGTAGCAACCATCCATAGTGTCTTGCACCGTTGGGACCGCAACCGAGTCTCGGTCTGTGAACGAGCGCCAGCTCATCAAACTAATGGGCACACGACCGTCACACACGCCGTTAGCCGAATTCTGGTGCTTCCGCCATCTCGTCACCAAGAATGACCCCTTGCATCGCAGCACAGCCTCCTTGGCGTCTAGAGGCTAGATTAAACGCGCCGTCTTACGAAAGATATGAGATGTCATAATCGAGATTGTCCTCCCCTGTCGACTTTGCATCACTCTATTCATTACCAAACAGATCAGGGCCTCGGGGAACGGAAGGGCAAGACATTTTTGAACAAGACCCTGCGTGACCTGAACGAAAGAATCTAGGGGTCCTTCCACAAGAGGCTAGCCCGTCGTCATCATTAGCCTCTCATTGGTTGATTGGCCATACCTCGACCCCTGCACTGCAGCCTTCCCTTGCCAGCTTTTGACGTCACCGAGGACGGTGATCTTGGAGCGCAGATCACCGACAAACAGGTTTGGAGTCGCACGGCACCCAACCACCAAATCCGCCAAATGGCGTCTCACTCGGATCTAACAGCTAGTTGTCCTTCGAGGAACAGGAATGAGTGACGGACGGAGGGCATCCAAATGACCATCTTGGCATCATTGTGCAGCATCAATCATGCCAGCCTGCCAACAATGTCTGCAGCCAGGGTCTCGGCACGGGCGTCCGCCCAAACGACGTACCTTGCGGTGAGCTGTAACGGCAGTATGAGAGCCATAATGTCATGAATGAGGATGAGGAAGAGAGAGGATCAGGGGAAAGGTTATGAGAAAGGAGGAGAGATAGATATAACCTCCATGCTCCTCCCGCCCAGAGTCTTGTGTTCCGTCTTATCCAGCATCCTAAGCCTTCGTAAACAGAAGCACCCACACCACCAACCACACTCTACAACCTTGTAGGCGAAAACAAGCCTTTCGCCAAATCATCCTAGCAAATTGTATTCCTTCCATCACAAAACCTCTATATTCTCAAAATGCCATTCTTCGGAGGCGGCCGTCGCGAACCCTCTCCCGAACCAGTTCGGGAGCTGACCCCACCACCCTCAGAGCCCCGCCGCACCGGCTTCTTTGGCTCTCGCCGGGACCCTTCCCCGGAGCCAGTCCACCACCAACCCGTCGCCGAGCCCGCGCCCCGCAAGCACGGCCTCTTCGGCTCCTCTCGCCGTGACCCTTCCCCCACGCCGACAGCTCGCACATCCCGCACCTCCGCGACCTCCCACTCCTCTTTGTCGTCAACTACCTACCACACCTCCCCTGATGGCCACCACACCGGCGGAGGCGGCCTCTTCCGCCGCTCCACCGACGCGTCATCCGGTCGCCGGGGCGGTCTCCTGCACAAGTTTGGCGGCGGAGGCGTAGAAATGGACCCCAGCATCGTGCAGGCTCGTGAGCGCGTCATGGGCGCCGAGGCGGCTGAGAAGGAGGCTGACCGCGCGCTCATGGCTGCGCGGGAGAGCGTTGCTGCTGCGAGGGCTGATGTGCGAAGGCTTGAGGAGGAGGCCAAGGAGGAGGCCAGACGGGCCAAGATCAAGCAGTACCATGCCCGCGAGGTTTCCAAGCGTGGCAAGGCTTTGGGACGTCACGGAGACTAAGGTCACAAACTTGAGTGGTGCGGTTGAGAGAAACTCAGCAGTATTTCTTTTCTATTTATGAGTTCATGATCTGTATCATGGCGTACGTCGAACAATACGGAGTTGGGAGAGCGGAACAAAAGATTTCACACTATGTATTACTACTATAACACGCATGAGCGACGATTCGGAAACGCAAACATTACCTATGTAACAAGACGAGAAATGAACTATTTGACGAACACAAGATCGAGCCAATGTTTGTGACGCAAGGCAATCGATGCCGCAATTTTCATGAAAGCGTTCGTGAGGTCCTACAGAGAGCTTCGTCAAATTAGAAAGACAAAACTTGGCCGACAGGAAAAGGTCTGAGGCATGTCTGACAGTGCTGACAAGCTGACAAGACCCCTCCATAATCTGCCCGCCGTTCTCCAGTTCTCCAGTCCGACTGCAACCGGAGAATCTACTCAGCTCCGAAAGAGTCAGCACGGATCGGGGGTGTTCCCGGAACACCCCCTCGCAAATTCTCAGCCTTGACACCCGGTCGACACCACTCATTCCTCCCCTCATCCTCTGGCTCTAACCGGAGCGGACACGAGAATCTGCAGCGTCAGATTCCTTGCTGCCGTAGCGATTAGGTTCTCGGAAGTTTCTTACTCAAGGTGACGATCCGTGACGCGACGCTTTTTAATAGATTGACCGCAACTCCGAGTCCGGTTCATTGCAAGCAAGGTGGTGGTGGTGGTTGAGGTTTTTACTGATTTCCAAGACTTTGAGCATAGTGACAGAGTTCATTAGGGGTCATCTATCTAGTGACAACCTTTCTCGCTTGCTTGAGAATAGGCAAATGGAAAAAAAGGCCAGAACCCAATTGACTGCTGCTGTTGAGCTTTCATCCGAGATTTCTAGTACCCTGATCCAATACCTCATGCCATCCACCTGCCACCTGCTGAGCACGCCGTTCCTCCGGCCGTGCTGTCCTTCTGCGGATGCGCTGAAGACCGAAAGCGACAAAGGGAATGAAACCTGATCCTCCAACCCTGTATGTGCATTGTGAAGTGAAACGGGTATTTACATTTTTGGCTCAAAAGTGGTCAGTGCCCAAAGGTATCAAGAACTCATGTCGGCGACACAATCCGTAGATAGCCGCCGAAGTGAAAGGGGAAAAGGTCGCGTCTGCCCAAGGAGCTGGGCGGGCTGTAATAAAAGACATAGGTTAAAGGCCGAGATGCAAGTCGAGGTTGGAAGGTCCAATCCGTAGGAACGCCGACGCCTTCCAAGTGCCAAACACTGAAAAAATGGAATTCGAATCCGTCCAAAACAAGGGCCGCTCGTTTGATCGTGGTCGTAAGAAGATGAAGAACGATCATGGCAAGAAATGGATGCACCACGGTGATGTTTCTCACATAATGATGCACTGAGACTCTTCGCGATCCTTCTTGACACTGAGGGCGACGCGAGCGGCCTCGGTGAAGGCCTCGTTGACACCGCGGTTGCGCATGGCAGAGCACTCGAGGTAGCGGAGGGCATTGATGCGGCGAGCGACCTCCAAGCCCTGCTCGTAAGAGATCATGGGACGCTTCTCTCGCTGCTGGCCCTCGGCGGCCTCCTCCTCCTCATTATCGGCCTCGCGGAGATCGCACTTGAGGGCGACGAGAACCAACTTCACGCCGGGACAGTTGTCGGCGATCTCTCCAACCCACTTGCTCTCGACGTTCTCGAGGGAGTCCTTGCTGTCGACGCTGTAGCAGAGCATGATGAGGTCGGTATCGTCTGCGCCTAATTAGCAAGCGACTTCTTAATTCACCCAATATTAGAATCCCGTACCGTAAGACAAGCTGCGGAGGCGGTCGAACTCTTCCTGGCCAGCGGTATCCCAGAGGGAAAGCTCGATGTGGACACTGTCGACGAAGATGTCTAGCAATCTCAGGTCAGTTTTCAAATCGGCAGAGGGAGGATCGCGACGAAGGCATCTTCCGACTTGGCGCCTTTCGCTGGGAATCGAGGCATCGTACCATGGACGTAGTTCTCGAATACAGTGGGCTCGTAGACGGTCGGGAAGTAGCTGGGTCAAGTCAGCAAGAGATGCGCAATTGGAAACCCGGAAAAGGCCGGGCCCTAAGGCTTGAGGGTTGAAGGAGATAGTATTGGAATTACCCTCTGGTAAAGACGTTCAACAACGATGTCTTGCCGCACGCGCCATCGCCACTGCAGGTCGCAAGTCAATTAGCCAAACACTCCCAATCGCAGCCACCGACAAGGCTACACAAAGAGAAGGTCGAGGAGGTCTCACAGGAGGACCAGCTTGCGCTGGGCGGTCTTGTTACCACCGCACAAAGGCATACTGGGTGATCTGAAGGAGGTGGATTCGGTCGGGTTGTAGGAAGTCGGTTAGGGAGGGTTGATCGAGGTGAGGCGAGTCGGTGCGGTGCTGTACGAGATCGGTTTGCTTGGTTGTTTGTGGAAAGCAGAAAAGGATGCAGTCGGCCAGTAGGAGGAATCTGGGGGGAGAGTTCGTGGTTCGTCGGTCGATCAGCAAGGGGAAGGTACCAGAGATGGTTCTGGGTTGTTGTTTGGAGGTGGGTTGGCACGGCTGGTTGGTGCGCGAGGTGGTGGTGAAAGGAAACGGACAAAGAAAGGCCGATGGACTTTGGGGTAACTGCCACTGGAAGTGGAAGGGAGGTAAATTGATGGTAACGCAGGAAGGAAGGCACGGTACGGTGCGGTCCAGGTGCAGGTGCAGGAATAATGGAAGGGAACGGTGGGGAACAAAAAGAGCAAGGAAGGTCCAAGGCCCAGTGCTCTTTCCGTAGATGCAGTGCAACAGTGCCTCTTTTCGCTGGAGAGGAAAGTGCCAGGCAAAGCGGAGTGGCTTGGGGGATGGCTGTGACTGTGATGTGAGGCAGAGGAAAGGCAGGCGCAGAGCAGGCAGATGAGAAGAAACAAATGGGAGAAAGAGGCAGGCACTGGAGACCAAAATGAGGTAAAAGGTGCAAGTGTGAATTTGGGGTGAGCAAAAGATGCAGGAGCGGGAAATTGAAATTGGGTTGGAAGAAGGTGCGCTGCTCAATTGGCTGAGATCATGTCAGAGGGCCACTCAATGGAGTAGAAAAGAGCAATAGCGGACAGGGTCAGGCACCTCTTGCCGGGGTGAGCCTAGGAGGAAAGGAGACGGAGGAACACAACACTCATTGCCTTTTTGGCGCTGGGCTGGAAATGGACTTTTGGGGACCTGAGGAAGGAAGCCACCCAGCTGGATAAGGTAGGGACAGGCAGGAGCCACTGGGACTATGAAGATGGGCACCTTCCCAAGCTGTTACCTAAGAAACCTTTTGCTCTGTGTGGGGAAAACATTGATATACTATCATCATCATCATCTTCTTCTTCTTCTTCTTCTTCTTCTTCTTCCTCCATGGTGATACACTTCAGCACCAGCCAGGCCAGAGCAGAAAAGGGGACCAGCGCAGGGAGGCTGCGTGATTGCGTACTCCGTCACTCGTCGTCACTCAGTACACTTGGACGAATCCACAAGGACCGGAATGGGGAACCTCATGAATGTCACTGACTGAGCGCCTCCACCGAGCTACGGAGGCCCCTCTACCAAAGAATGCCCTGAGCACACATACGGACACTCTACGGATACCTACCTGTCCAACTTGACACGCTTGCTCCGTTATCGACCAGGAGACCAATCACTTGGGCTGCGACTCCAGTTTGCAGCGTACGGATATCTACTTCTGCCTCCGAAAGTGTACGAAGACGCTAAAATATCCGTAGATGCGAACTGGGAAGAAACAACTTGAACGAGTGGAGACTTCCCCGCCACACAATTGCGCGCATCTGCACCCACTATCGAGCTGCAGACATGTCACGACAGGGAAATCAGATTGAACTGCGCGAGAAAAGAAAAGAAAATCCCTCCCAATAAGCCATTAGTTGCCCTTCGTCCCGAACGTACCCGCAACTTCCAACAAAGTCATGAAATATCCCTCTCACAAATCACCAGGATGGACGCCATGAAGATGAAGAGGCTCGGGGCATGGGCCAGTGCGCGTCCAATGTGAGCTGAGCTGAGGCCGACTATGAGGTCTCGCCAAAACGGCATCATTGATCCAATGCTTTTCCAGCTTAGCCTTTTGGCTCCCCCCCCCCCCCTGCCACAACATGGCCGAGTGGCGCTTAAGGGCCCCTGGAGCCCCTCAACTCGAGTCCCGTCAAGGCCGTTCTTGGTAAGACAGCTGAGCTGAATGGGGCAGACAAGGTCAACGAGGGGCACCAGATACTCACGTACAGGAAGGCATCGAGGGCTATCTGGTACAAGAGAGTGTTCGGTACTGGACGCCAGAAACCTCCGCCAGAACTCGGTTGCGCTGTAAGCCGAGTCAACCTTATCTTCCGCTCTTTCGCCCGGCTGCGGCACCTTTCGAGAACGCCAGTCATACACGATTTATCGTCAAATCCCCCGACCTCTATCCACACAAACCTTGTACCTCCGTCTCACTCACAGACGAATATGCAGCTCCAATGTATGCTGAAGCCATCACGATACACTGGCCAAGATTTGAAGTGAGAATACGCAATCCTCTGGTTTCACCTCATAAATCCCGTCGCTCAGCCTCTACTTGTCGTGGGCTGTACGACTCGCTGCGCCGCTCACTCATCCCACCCATCGTCATTCGATAGTCCACACTGCAACGAATTAAGGAAGGAAATCCGATATCCACCTCTGTCAAAACAAACGCTCTCCACTACTCAAACAAAATAACTCCATCGCTAGCCAAGGAAGCACCGCGCCTTGTGGCAGACTCATCCCAGCGACACTCCCGCCGCAAAGCGCCGGAGCTCGACTCGCTGGAAGCCCCGAGAGCGGCGCCTGTTTTTCGGATCGAGAGACATGGGCGAATCCACCACGCCATTCACCCTAAAGGCAAAAGGCCCGGGCCCGTGTTTATTCCGTGCGAAGTGAAGGTCTTTTGGTCCTCGGTATTCGGTTCGATTGTTCTCGTTATTCCCTTAAGGTACCTTATTCAGCAGCGCTGCGAGAACCCTCAGTTGACCGCAGTGTCTGAAGGCATTCCGGGATCATATTCTGCCCCTCTTTGCAGCTCATCAACACCCCTCATCACTCCATGACCTTCCCCATCAGTGAGGCAAAGGCAGCTGGCATCGTCAGCCTCACTGACAACGCAACCCTTGCGCAACGGAACAGTGAGGCACAGCCAAGAATCGTGACGCATCATCACCCCTTCGCCAAGCACCCGTTCGCCGCTCTATTGTGCTTCGGATCCTCAATCCCCCTTGTTGCGCGCGACGACGCCTCCCGCACCCAGTCCGAGTGCCGTTCCCCCGGATACCCCATTGTCAGTGCTCACTCGCTGTTTCTCACAAGGTCTGATGTAAGATTGCGTGCCACCGTATCGTGAAGTATTCGATTATTGTTTAATTTTTCTACTTGTTCGTTACACGGGAACGTTCGTCACCGTGTCTTGGGTATCCACTACAGCGTTCCATCACCGTGTGTGCAGCCTGCAACATGCCTCGCATTCTAGAATCCATCCATGACGTGCAGTCGGCGGCACTAAAGCTTTCAAACCTTTCTTGCGCCGAATCCATGGACACGCTTAAGCACGTTCTCCCTCCCTTCCGTCTTCCGGCAGCGTCCCATCCCGACTTCGCTCCCGCCGGGCCCGACCATGCATAGGCGATCGATGGCTACTGCGACCCAGCTCCGTTCTGTCGGCTCGCACGGCGCCCGCTCTTTGACGCTCGACCTTTGCCCCGCGAATCCTCAACCTCCGCTTCAGGTTTGCCCCGCAAGCTGGTAGTTTGTGTGGTATTCAATTTGATTTGGCCAGGTCTCGCCGGTCCTATCGCATCCACCCCTCAGTCATCGTCTCTCTGCAGACCCTGCCTACTACGGCCCATCCTCTCCCCGAGGCTCATGTTGCCGGCCTTCCGATGCAGACCGTTCACGAATTGCCTGTCTCCAAACTTGGATGATCGTTCTCTCGCCTGATCATCGGCTTGTCGCGCGGCGTTCTCCCGTTCTTCAAGCGCAGCCAGTCGGCGCTCCCGATCTGTGTCGAGATCTGAAGCGGCTGCCTGCATCGCCGCCAACTTGCGAGCCCTTGCCTCCTCAGCGCCCTTGTCATCGACCTCTTTGCCGCTACTGGATCCATTGGTACGGGCAGCAGGTCGTCTGTCAGGCCCTTGCCGATGATTATCGTTGTTTCGGCGACCCCGGGAGACTGAAGCCTCTCCATCCCGGTCGCCACGCCTGTCGTGACTTCGTGGCGATCTCTCCCGTGGCCTGACGGGTCGTTCGTCCTCGGACACTGAGTCTCGGCGCCGCCGTTCGCGGTCGTCACGCCTGTCGCGTCGATCGCGTCTGTCGTAATCGTCCTTCTCGCCAGAGTCGCGTCTTCGAGGAGATCGGGATCTAGAAGTGCGTCTGCGCTGGTGGTGCCTGTCTTCTGAATCGCTGCGTCGACGCCGCCTTTCAGAGCGCTCTGCCTCGTCATGGTCGTCTCTCCGACGGCGCGGGCTTCGTGACCTTGAATAAGATCGCCGCCTCTTGCGGTGTCTTTCCCGATCGTCGTCGTCATTCCGATGCCTGTGGTGCCTTCTCTTGTGCCGCTCCTCCTTTCCTTTCGACTTTGATTTATCGTCTGCCATACCCATGGATGCAAGTAACTGCCGACGCTTGATGGGATCATTCATCATGGCTTCGTAGGCGGCCTGCTCCTGTCGCTTGATGGCAAGCAGGGGGTCTTCTCGAACTTTGGCTGCTGTGTCGCGTGCGGTGTTGGCCGTCTGTAGGGCCATGAAACTCTCCTGCCCGGCTTGCTTCTCCAAGTTCTTGTGTTCCGTTCCCTTGAGCAAGTTGTCGATGCGGCGCTTGCCTAAGAGGTAGCTCTCGCGCTCCTCGGTCGTGCCGGTCTGTCCATCGGTAGGTCCGCTGTAAAGAAACTCGACGCGGTCGACTCGTTTGGTGTGCCCTGCAGCCTCGAGCTTCTTCTGGAGTTCTTCGCGCTCGCGCTCTTCCTTGAGCTCGTTGATGCGCTGCTGTGTCTTCTTGCGCTCATCGAGGGCTTTGCGTTCCTCTTCCCAGACCTTGGCCTGGTTCTTGATGAGAGAAGGGTGGAAACTCTTCTTCAAGTTGAGATCGCCACCCATCTTGCCGACTGCTTAGTCGAGTATACTGGAGTATTCGTCGACAATTGTTAGAGAATGGGCCAAGCCGGAAAGTGAGTCGTGTGGAAATCTGTTGGAGATGTAGGTTGTTGGGAGAGATGGAGGTTGAAACTAGGCAGATGAAAGTCAAAAGGCTGGCACGGCTGGGTTCGAGTCAAAAAAGCCATGGGAGCCAAAAGTCGCCTCCGTTCATGTGGCCAGTGCGCAATCAGAGGCCGTTGGTGGGTCCGCCAATCGATAAGCTCCCCCCGCCTTCCATTCATTGTCCACCACAGCTGCACCTGCCTGGAACTGTCCCGCTCATTGTCAATCAGCCTTACTACCTTCACGTTCAATTTCCAACGACGAACAAACCTACAATTTCTTCCACCACACCTTTTCCTATAGCTATTCTCCAGTCAAGTCACCAAAGCGCACTCCTTGCGATCGCCTTCTCGAATACTCCACAATCCCCTCACGCAGTCAAGATGTCTGACGACGAGGACTTCATGCAGGAGTCTGATGAGGAGCAGTGAGCTTCCCCCAGATGGGCCTGTCAGCTATGGGTTTTGTAGCAGGAACCGCCGAGACTGACTAGGCGCAGGTACGACTTTGAGTACGAGGAAGACGACGATGAGGACTCCGGAGATGTCGGCATCGAGAACAAATACTACAATGCGAAGCAACTTAAGCTTACCGATCCCGAGGATGCTATTGCCGAATTCTTGGGCATACCACCGTTAGAGGAGGAAAAGGGCGAATGGGGCTTCAAAGGCTTGAAACAAGCCATCAAACTCGAGTTCAAGCTGGGACAGTATGAGAAGGTACAAACAATCTAAACTTCCTGAAGAAAGTCCTGCTACCAATAGAAGGGAAATACTGATTTCGGAACCAGGCGACGGAACATTATGCCGAGTTGTTGACCTACGTCAAGTCGGCCGTGACAAGAAACTACTCCGAGAAGTCGATCAATAACATGCTGGACTACATTGAGAAGGGATCAGACAGCCCCAAGGCCGTGGCGTGCGTCGAGAAGTTCTACTCGCTCACACTCGAGAGCTTCCAGAGCACAAACAACGAGAGGCTATGGCTGAAGACGAACATCAAGCTGGCCAAACTCCTCCTCGACCGCAAGGACTACAACACGGTCACTAAGAAGCTGAGGGACCTCCATAAGGCTTGTCAGAAGGAAGACGGCAGTGACGATCCCAGCAAGGGCACATATTCTATGGAGATATACGCCCTCGAGATCCAGATGCACGCCGAGACCAAGAACAACAAGCAGCTGAAGAGACTCTACCAGCGCGCCCTCAAGGTCCGGTCCGCTGTACCTCACCCCAAAATCATGGGCATCATTCGCGAATGCGGTGGCAAGATGCACATGAGCGAGGAGAATTGGGCCGAAGCCCAGACGGACTTCTTCGAATCCTTCCGCAACTACGATGAGGCCGGCTCGCTCCAGCGAATTCAGGTGCTCAAGTACCTACTTCTTACGACTATGCTTGTCAAGTCTACCATCAACCCGTTCGACTCGCAGGAGACCAAGCCGTACAAGCAGGATCCCCGAATCACTGCCATGACCGACTTGGTGGACGCGTACCAGCGTGACGACGTCCACGCCTACGAAAATGTCCTGCAGAAGAACCAAGACATTCTCGCCGACCCATTCATCGCTGAGAACATTGACGAAGTCACGCGCAACATGAGGACGAAGGGCGTCCTGAAGCTGATTGCACCGTACACACGAATGAAGCTGTCATGGATCGCGAAGCAACTAAAGATCTCAGAGCCCGAAGTTCAAGACATCCTCGGTTTCCTCATTGTTGACGGCAAGATCCAGGGCAAGATTGACCAGCAAGCCGGCACTCTCGAGATTCAATCGGACGCGGACAGCGATCGTACCAAGGCTTTGTACGAACTGACGCAATCTGTCTCGAATTTGTACACTACCATGTTCAAGGAGGGCGAAGGCTTCCGATCTACCGAGTTCCCTACCGATGAGCAGACCATGGAGATGATGGGCGGCGGTATGACCCCAAGAGGCGGCGGTCGTGGACAGCCGCGGGGCGTCGGACGGAAGGGTAAGGGCGTGGTGCCGTCAATGTGGACATGAGAAGCATGAGTATACGCGCATGCCGCTTGATTACAGCGGGAGATGAACATAGCAGGTAAAGCTTACGACTGGCCATTGCACCATAGCTGCTCGGTCAGCTACGTCACAGCAGGGACGGGGACGGAAGTGCTCAGACGAAGAAGGAAGACGATGCCATGGCGGCCTCGACAAGCATAGGAAAGGAGTAGAGGCGTTGTCAAAGTAGCTCATCAGGCCATGACAAGATACCAAAAACCATGCAATCAACATTATTAGTCAGAAAGGAAGGATATATTCTTCATCAAACACCTCAAGTAGCACGTCGAACAACCGACGCAAAGTATGGATGTAGGCAAATCCGTGGACAAATACGGTTCAAAAGCAGCTTCCCGCTGCGGGTGGCTCAATTCAAAGAGCTTCCAAGATCTCGTGGAACGCTGGTGACGGGATACGAGGCCGAGGGAGCAGGAGGCGATGAAGGAGGCTAAGCGTGGGATAAGTTATCACGTCGCACCACGACGACGCGAGGGATCAAGAGGAATTGACTCCTTGGCTAGGAGAGGTATAGGTCCTCTCGTGCATCTCAATAGAGGACAACACTAGCACACTAGATACGTATGTTGATTCATCACTTCTTCGGACTCGTAGATCCCGTGGAGGCAACCGAAGAAACCGAAAATACGAAGAGCCGGACACGCCTAAGGAATCTCCCAATTCGATGTCCCTCAACGCTAGTAGACTACGCGATGGTGTTTTTCGCCATGGTGTTTTTGCGACGATCCAATCCAGACCTCAGATCTATCATCCAGCCTTTGGGCTTCGTTCCGGAATCTCAGTTCCGGAAATCTCATTTGTCCATAGGAACCGGAATACGACCATCAATCTCCCCCGCGACACAATGGAGGGGCATCGAGCTGACCAAACAGCAGGGGAAAAAAGAGTTTGGACACGCAGACGATAGACTGGTGATCAACTTATTTGGCTCTCACTCGACACCGCCATCACCGTCCCAATTCGCAAATCAATAGGCCGAAAAGGCGCCTGACCGATCGATGCAGCGGCAGTTTGTCTTGTTGGCCGCGGCGCAGTCCCCCAAACGAGACGCAGACGAGATGAATCTGGCCCTGTCTTGTGTGGTAACCACCACCAACCTTTATCGATTTTCCCGTCTTCAGACCTTCACCTTGCAGCAACGATGTGTTGGTGCTCAGCTCAGCTCGCTTGCTTGATTTGCATGGCCCGCGTCGTTGGTCTCGACGTAGTTTGACTGACAGTTTGCAATTTACCCAGCCAGACATGGGCGCAGCAGCAAGATGGGGGGGAGGGACACCGCGGAGACTGAAGGCAGTGAGCCGAGCCAGAACGCGAAGCAAATGGAAGAAAAGAAAAAATTCTGCACCACCATCACCCACAAGTCTCCATCGCTCACCCCGTACTCTTCGGCATCGTGTCCGTAGCCGTCAAACGATACGACACGATGCTGGCGCGGGATTGTCCCGATTGTTCCTGGCAGCGTCGCATAAGGTAGAGAGAGACAGTGGACCCGGAAAGTTTTAGTCG